GCTGCGTCTCTAGACCTTAGAATCACTAGACCTAACGATAGATCATATTGCTTTTGTAACCGTTGACAAGACGATCACCCATACCATCTCAAAATCATCTTTGGAGTTCATCCCTCCTAGGGACATTGTTTCGTTGAACAGCCGTTCCCACAGGGCGCAGACTGTCTCCTTCGCATTAGTTCAGCACTCCCTTGATCCTTTACAGCCAGGTTGCGAGTTTGGTTGTCGTACGCATACCGACTCAATGCTCCTGACACTCCATCTGACCTGTCTTCACTTCCTCCAGATCTAGCTGGAGGATATTGGTTTCTGAGGAAACCAAAAAAGTCAATCCTGAGGAAAGAAGAGAAATCTCCACGCGTTCAACCCGGATATCGGATACGAGTATGAACTATGCCGAACAGCCATGGCTTCAAGTCAGCATAGCAGTTGCCGCCTTCGATCTTCTATTCCCACTCCTCAGACGCACTGGAGCACCAGATCAATGATAGCGAAGAAGACATCCCGATCAGCGTCGGCCGTCTCGAGACCAAGCCCAAGAACCAGCAGCCGCTTCTCATCCGGCCTCTTGGTGACAATAGCACTCGCGATCTGCCGAGCATACAGCTGACCAACAACCTCATGACCGGGGGCTCGACCTCCCAGCAGTGACGTAGCGGTCAAGTTGCTAATCGGAAGAAGACTGTCATCCGAAGAATCGGGGATGATGTGGAAACCCTCTGTACCGGGATTCTTGTTCTCTAAGGGGACGTGAAGCTGTGATAGGTCAGTGGAGAAGGTCGGTGCAATGCTTAGACGAATCACAGACCCAGTGGCCGAGTCGACCCTTTTGCGAAATAGTCACCAAGATCCGGTCACTGAATTTGACAAGCATCACATCGGTGGGGATACCATTGATGACTCCGGCGGCTTGTTTTGTGACTGCGGGGAAGGGTAGGTTGATTGGTTCCAGAAGAGGATCAAGATTGACTGCTTCGGCCATGATGGCAAATTGACGATGAGTTCGTAGACTATACCTATGAGGTCACGTAGAACGTCTAGAGTATTATGCCACAATGAGACAAAAATGAAGTACGATCTGATGAAAGCTGTTGGAGCCGCAAGAGGATAGACCTGTAGTTATTCATTCCCCGCCGCCGATCATCACGAAAGGCGGTGAGTATATTTGCCTCACCGCCTGCGGGGCAGAATGGCTCCGCCGCGTAATTTTTTCTCTCCTCATGGATTGAGCATCATCATCACAACTCGAATTTCTCTTATCTTGTGGCCATTTGATCCTGGTAGATTGAGTAGGAGCGATCGCTTCTACCTCCAGACACCATGCCCAAGTTTGTTCCCCGTCAGCGGAAGCAGAAACACCGGCAGCAGGCGGAGTCAACCGCCGGGATAGATACCAATGCTGCCGAAATTTTGCCCGTCTCCAAAAGTGAGAAGGAAGCCAAGCGACAGAAGCTGAAGGAGGAATTGAAGTCGCAGAACCCTACTATATCCTCCAAGAAACAGAAGCGCCTGGATAAGTATATTGTACGTCTTTTGTTGTGCGCTGCTTAGGAGACCCTTTTCTCTAATCTCACTCGCAGGAAACAAAATTGAAGAAAGAGGAGAACATTGAACTGTTGAAGAAGCTCGCGCAAAGCAAGGTCGACACCTCTGCTCTCCAAAGCACGAAGGAACTCGGAAAGCGCAAGAGGCCTGATGAGAGACCGCCCCGGCCCACGACTACGGACCGTAATGCCTCTCACGTCGACTATTCGTCCGGTGACGAGACGGACGATTCGCTACCTCCGGCCAAATCCATTGCCATCGCGAGTACACCTGCAGAGTCCCAAGCAGTGGGCAGCGGCTTGAAACGCCCACTCGAACTCGGACCTGATGGGTTCCCGATCCTCAAAAAGCGGAAACGCGCGCCCAAGAAGAAACCTATAATCACGATATCTATGCCCGAGGTTCCTTGGGACGGATTTGGATCAGATGACGAGGGCGAGGAGGAGGAGGAGGATGAGGCTGATGAAGAACACTCCGGAGAAGACTCAGATGCAACTTCAGAGGATGATACAAGTGAAGATGGCAGCGGCAGCGGGAGTGACGAAGACGAGGACGAGGACGGAGAAAGCAACGATGATGATGAAGAGGAGGATGAGGAGGAGGAAGATGACGGTGAAGACGAAGAGCATACAGACAAAACTAAGTCGCGACTGTCCGCGTTCAAGGATTGGGCTCGGCAGCAAATCAATGAAGCCGTGGGATTCACGCCTGCGACCGTCCCAGTTGTCGCCGAACCGATGCCGTTTATCCCTGAATCAAAGAGACCAGTAAGGAACACAGTCTATGTGGAAGAGCCGCTGCCTCGAGAGCTGCAGGTCACTACTGGAGATCCCAACCGGAAGGCCTTCAGCGTCCAAGTCAATCGTTCCGAGGAAATTCAGCAGGCACGTCTAGGCCTGCCTGTTGTCGGGGAGGAGCAGAAGATTATGGAAGCCATCTACAACAACCCTTCGATCGTGATTTGGGGTGCTACTGGTAGCGGAAAAACCACCCAGCTACCCCAATTCCTGTTCGAAGCAGGCTATGGCCATCCTGACGGACCTAATCCTGGAATTATCGCTGTTACCCAGCCGCGACGAGTTGCTGCTGTCAGTATGGCGAAACGTGTAGGTGATGAGCTGGGTCAATTTTCCGACCGTGTGTCTTATCAGATTCGATTCGACAGTACAGCAACCAGCAAAACCGCCATCAAATTCATGACGGACGGTATCCTCATCCGAGAGATTGCTGAAGACTTCTCATTGAAGAAATACTCTGTCATCGTGATCGATGAAGCCCATGAGCGTAGTGTCAACACAGATATCCTCATTGGCATGGTGAGCCGAATCGTCGATCTCCGGAAATCGATGAGCGAGGAAGACCCGTCTGTCAAGCCCTTGAAACTGGTGATCATGTCTGCTACTCTGCGCATTTCCGATTTCACGCAAAACCCCAGTCTATTCCGCCAAGGACCGCCACCATTGGTGCAGGCTGAGGGTCGTCAGTACCCCGTCACCATTCATTTCTCCAGACGCACCCACCGCGATTATGTCGAAGAGTCTTTCCGCAAAGTGTCGCGCGGCCATCGCAAATTGCCTCCGGGCGGAATTCTTGTATTCCTGACAGGACAGAACGAGATCCGTCAACTTTCCAAGCGGTTGAAGCAGGCCTTCAAGCCTACTCAGCGAGCAGACACCACCCAGGTGAAGGTCCAGATATCGGCCAACGATGCGCCATTGGAGACGGAAGATCTGGAAATCGGCGGTGCCGATTTGTCCGTTCCTGGCGGCGAAGTAGATGACGAAAGTGACTATGAGATCACTGGTTTGGATGAGCCGGACGAAGAAGACGAAGAATTTGATCTGGGCGAAGAGGCCATGAGCTCCACGACTCGGGTCCACGTGTTGCCCCTGTACTCTCAACTTCCGACCAAGGAGCAGCTCAAGATCTTCGAAGAGCCACCAGAGGGCTCGCGTCTCATTGTTCTGGCCACCAACGTGGCGGAGACCAGTTTGACGATCCCTGGCATCAAGTATGTGTTTGACTGCGGCAGAGCTAAGGAGAAGCAATATGATCTGTCTACCGGAGTGCAGAAGTTCCAGATTGAATGGATCAGCAAGGCTAGTGCAAACCAGCGAGCAGGTCGTGCTGGTAGAACTGGACCTGGCCACTGCTACCGCCTCTATTCGTCCGCGATCTACGAGAACGAGTTTGCCGAGTACACCGACCCCGAAATCCTGCGCACGCCGATTGAAGGTGTCGTGCTGCAGATGAAGAGCATGGGTCTGCATAACGTTATCAACTTCCCATTCCCCACGCCCCCTAGCCGGCAAGGCTTGGCCAAGGCCGAAAAGCTGCTGAAGAATCTGGGGGCCCTGACATCGGAGGGCAAGATCACCCAGATCGGTAATCGGCTCTCCACCTACCCTCTGTCTCCTCGATTCGGCAAGATGCTGTACGTTGGCCACCAGCATGGCTGCATGCCGTATGTGATCGCCCTCGTCGCTGCTCTGGCAGTGGGCGACCTCTTTGTCCCTCAGAGTCAGATCGATCCCGTGTCATCGAAATCCAACGAGCACGAAGGGGTGTACACCAACGCGGACCGGCTCGAGGACACGGCGCGGGAGCAACGCCACAAGGACTACGCGCGGGCTCATCGTCTGTTCAGCAAGCATGACGATACATCTGACGCGATGAAATACCTGTCCGCGATCTGCGCCTACGGGTACGCCTCCGACGGGGATTCGTTCTGTGAGAAGATGTTCCTGCGCGCCAAGGCCTTCAAGGAAGCCACCCAGCTCCGCCGTCAACTCACAGATATTGTGCGCACCAACAACCCCGGTCTCGTCGGTGCCTATCAGGCGCGTCTGCCGGAGCCCTCGGAGAAGCAGGTTAAGGCTCTCAAGCAGATCATCACGGCGGGTTTCATCGACAACGTGGCACTCCGCGCCGATCTTGCGCCTGTACCTCCGGAGATGGCCCGGACGCCCAAGCGAGCCATCGACGTCCCGTACTTCACGCTCATGCGGTCGCGCGAGGGCCCGGGCTTGGAACTGAACGAGAAGTGCGTCTATGTGCATCCCTCGTCCATCCTTGCGCAGATGTCCGCCAAGGAGATGCCGCAGTACATTGTCTACTCCCACCTCCAACAATCTTCCCCGTCGGTGGTGGCGGCCGAGCAGACCCCCAAGATCCGGATGTATCCCCTGGCGACACCCAGCGGACTGCAGCTCTCCGCCATCGCCCACAACACGCCGCTGATCGAGTACGGGAAGCCGATCGGCAAGGCGGAGACGATCGAGGGGATCCCCGAGCGCCGCTCATGCTGGGTGATCCCGTCGCTGGTAGGCGAGGCCGGTGGTCCAAGGTGGCCTTTGCCGGCGAAGAAGGTCATCCAGAAGAAGGATCCCAAGGAGGGGTGGGTGATCGAGAAGTTTGTCACTTGAGGCATATATAGCGACGAAGCCCGCAAGCAAAATTTGTGAGCATATAGTTAATGTACAGCTGTGTCTGATCATCGAAGGTACAGTATTGCAGTATCACCCTGCTTAGAGGCGCCGTAAAAAAAAAAAAAAAAAAAAGCAAATCCATAATCTAACGCCCAAACACCCATCAATCCTCCCTTCCCTAGACCCCAGATACAAGCCAAATCATCAGAAGAATCCACCACCCCAAGCAAAAACACCCAACCAGTCCAACAATCAATCCCTCCTTCTCCCCCCCGAGATCTCCCCAGTCTCCCTATCCTCGCGAATCCCCAACGCCCTCCTCAAGCGCTCACTCTCCTCAATCTTAGCCTCCGCCAACTCATGCACCTGATACGACTTGAACTGCTTCTTGGACGGAGGAGGCATATCCCTCTCCCTCTCCCTGCCCCACCGTCTGCCCGCACCACCATTACCCGCATACCCGGCCGCAGCCCTGCCCGCATCCCTCTCCTTCCGCGCCGCAGCCCGCCGCTCCTCCTCCTCCAACTCCCTCAACAACCTCTCCCGTAACCGCTGACACCGCTCCTCGATCTCCTCCTCCGAGAGCGCCCGTTTCCCCTTCCCCTCAGCAGCCTCGCCCTCCTCCTCGTCCTCCCCCTCAGCCTCAGCCTCAGCCTTCTGCTTCTTCACCCCCTCCCCAGCCCCCTTGCCCCCCTTCCCCTCCTCAGCTGCAGCTGCAGCATCCTCCTCTAACCGCTCATTCTCCTCCTCCAACTCCTCCCGTAACTCCATAACCTTGACCTCGACGGCACGGCGCCGGTCATGCTCGAGGATCTGCCGATCCGGCACGCGCTGCTTGAAGCCACCGCCGGCGCCGGCAGCCGAGTTGGCGCCCGAGACGGGCGGGTACGGTTGGCCGTAGCCCGTGGAGCGGGGCTTGATGAAGGCGGCGTTGCGCTGGACGTAGCCCGAGGTGCCGCTGCCGCGCGGGGTGGAGAGGCCGACGTTGGAGGACATTCTTGGAAAGCTTCTGGAAACTGTGTTTCCCTGTCTGTGTTCGCTGATGCTTGTGTGTGTGTGTGTGTGTCTTCTAGATGGTATGGGATGGGTGATGTTGGGATGGGCGAGGTAAGGTGAATGCAATGGTGAGTTGATTGATTGTTCGTTGATCGTTGAGAGGATGTGAGATCGTGGAAGTTCGACTTGAGAGGCGGCCGGTCGCGGTTCGGTTCGATGAGGAGGTATGTGTGGTGCTCAAGATTGGGAGGAAGGTGGTTCGCAAGTTATGTAGTCAGGTCGTCATCAAGATGGACTATCTGGTCAGTGATGTGAAAAAGGTCAAGCAAGCCAGGTATTGTCGTATCTTCCGTGGCGACGGAGCTTCGAGGTTAGTCGTCCAGGTTTCTCTGTCGAAATGGGGCTGCGCAGTTATCGGTCACGTGATGATAACGGAGCTTCACCAGCAATTCGCTTCCTGCCGACATTCCGTACTGTACATACTACGATGTAAATGCGGCCAATCGACCAACACGCCAATACAAAACCATCTCGCGAAATCCAGACACTTCAATTCGTGGTCTGTATACTAGCTAGAGTGCTCAGCCTCTACATGCTCTAGGCATCCCGTATGTTCTCCCTATTTCCAGGTCTCCCATTATGTCCAAGGTCCCACACATTTTGTTAACCATCCGAAGGAATTCAAGCGCGATGCCCCGTAACCCATGTTTCACCAATAACTGACGCCGACCCTTCGTGTTGTTAGGACACAGAGAAACAGGAAATATCGATAGCTATGGAGGCGTGTCCTCATTTTCGTCACAAAGAACTTCAAAGGTAACAGAAGAAAGTACATCCACAAGCAATTAAAGAAGTAGAAAAATAAGTTTCAAGAAGCAAAAGGGGCGGGGGAATAGTAGGAGTAGTAGTAGTAGTAGTAGTAGTGAAATAAAGCAAATGACCTCAAGTCTCCGCCGTGTCCCTGGATATTGCGCCGTCAAGCCATGAAATGTGGGCGGAAAGATGAGGAGCAGTCCCTCCTTCAGGCCCCGGTATGTATACGCCCCGATCAATAATGTCGTTGAAGAACTCAGAACATCGGAAAAATAAAGCTATATTTCAGAGAAAGCAATGTTAGATATAGAGCCGTTGCAATCTATGTCGCCCCAGAGACTTCAACCGAGGCGCTTGAGTCCGCCTCGGCTGATTCGGATTCAGCCAGCGAGGTCACCGTAGCCTTGGGGATATTCTTGAACTCGGAAGAGCTATCTGCGCCGCTTTGGCTATCAGTCGGAGGGGGTGTTGGAGGCGCGGCTCCAACGGGAACCCGGCCGTTTTCGACTCCGTTGACTGCACGCTTCGACGGCTGGGGAGAGGATTTATGCGAGTTCGGCGGGGTGGTCGAGGTGGCTGTGTGAGGGACGGGCCCCTCGGGACCAGGGTGGATCCCAACGATCAATTTCTCAATGGCAACAATCTGCTTCCCGTAACTGTACTTCTTCAGCTGATCAAGCATCGGCTGGATGCGCATCACAAGGGCATATTTCTCCTCGGGCGAGTCTTGTAGTTGACCAAGAATTTTCTCTGGGGAGAGTTAGCAGCTGCAGTTGACTATGCTGAAGAGTGCCAACTTACGGATGACATAGTTGCCGTATTGGTCACGCATCAAGCCGATAAGGGGGGAATCACCCCGATCATTGACACTGGTCAAAGTGTCGATGATCTGTCGACGTTGAGATTGCTCCCCAAACTCAATGCTCTTCTCCACGACGTTACTGGCAAACTTGTGTTTCGAGTAAGTGAGCAACTGGCCGATGACAACATTGATCATGCGCGACCGATCCTTCTCTTCGCCATTCTCGATGACATGTTGAATCACGTAGTTACCAAATTGGTCGGAAATGAGTTTGGCGGTGCAAGGGTGCAATTCGGCCAGGATGGATTCGCGATCGGCTTGCTCACAGTGCTCCAGCATGCGCTGAATGACGCGGCATCCGTATGGGTGGGCCGACAGTTTCTCCACCTGACCCTTGAAGGCATTGATGATGAACTGCACATATTCGGACGGTACTCGCTCAATGGCCTTTTGAATCACATGGTTACCATTCTGATCTCGTACACACTTGAGAACACTCGACTCAAGCTCTTTGACCATGGAAGCTTGTTGATCAGTCAAGATGTGTTCGAGGGCCTATGGAGGGATGTATTAGCAACAATTAATCAGAGAAATGCCATGACACCCAAGCTTACCTTTTGCACCACACGGCACCCATACATCTGGGTAGAAAGAGAAAGAATATGCCCCTTCATTTGATTGGCGAGGACTTTCTTCTGAGTCTGGTTGCCGTGCTCGAAAAGCTTTTGCACCACGTAATTCCCAAAAACATCCGTCATCAGCTGCAAGCTGTTCGACTGGATTTCCCGGAAAACCTGCTCCTTCTCGTCACTGTTGGCAGTCTCGAGTTTCTGCTGGATGAAACGTGACCCGTGCTGATCACCGCTGAATTCGACTATATGACCGTATATATCCTAGAACTGGTCAGCAAGGATGTCATCGTGCAAGGTCAATGGTTACACACCTTCAGGTCATAGCGTTTGTTCCCCTTGCTGTTGGCTCTGAAATCCTCCAGGACAGGGCTCCGGGCAACCTGCGAAGAGAGGTCCTCGCGTTGTCCCCTTTGGAGGAGAGCGGCTGCACCAAGGTGGGCGGCAGGGTGGTATAACCCAGACATGCCATTCACTCGCTGAACTGCTGGATACCCGTTCACATTGATATCGTAACCGGGACTGAAGTTGGCACGCTGAAGAGAGTTTGCGGATTGCTGAGCAAGCTCATGATCAGCGCGCATTCGGCTCAACACCACAGCCGGATTCTCGGGCAGCTGGCTTGCAGATGAGTTTCGGTAATGGGCGCCATTATCGTGTCCGTAAAATGGGCTCTCCATCCGATTATACTCAACGGGTGACAAAGGATGACCCTCCGCGACACGCGACCTGACGGTCTGATAAGCAAGTGGCAAGTCTGCAGTCACATTCTCATTCCCGTAATTGGTGGCAAGCTGATAGTTAATATCATCACTGGCGCTCTGATAATTAAGTCGCTGGACAGCATTGTCGTATGATTGATGAGTGACAAAGCCCGGGCGGCCGGCAGTCTGCGCAGCGATGCTACTCTCGTTGAGCTGTAGCTTGCCTAATCCAGCACCGATGTCCACTGATCCCGATCTGCCTTCATATCCCTGAGACTCGGAGTGGAATGATGGGTAGGAGGAGTGTGGCGGTCTCGCCGGCGCAAAGGACGCAGAGTTGTGTGGGACATGTGCATAGGAATTGCGACTGACGTGCTGGGGCATGAAATCGGGCAGAGCTTGAGGAACACCTGGCATGGCCATTGACGAAGGCACTTCCTCCGCTCTATTGCTCTCAATGTTGGGAAATCCAGGCTTCATTGGGAAGCTCGAGCCCACAGGGCTACTGGTAAATGTAGCTGTGTTGACGTGCCGTCTACCATCATTATTGCGAAACCCTCCAAAGTTCCCAAGCGAAATACCGTCACTGGAAGGAGATATGCCTTCAGTTCTCCCATTCAAGTAAGGTTGGTGAGCCGTGCTACCGGAAGAGCCGCTAACTGTTGACTTTGACAGGGCAAAATATGAAGATGCTTCGGCTGCGTCCGATAGAGCGGCGGCGCTGCGATCATTGGTCCGGGTCTGAACGGGTGAAGTCGTCATACCGCTATTCGGGCCCCTCGACAGTGCGCTGCCAGGTGTATTGATCGTACCCCATGGAAGGTTGGGCCTGGTGTTCCAACCGTCGGACTCGGATGTCGATGTCGACAACAAGGAGCTTGAACCAGCCTTGCCTTCAAACGCATTCTCTGCGTTGTGTTGGTCTGAGCACATACAATCAGTACAGCACGGGTTCTTAGGCGGATTCGTGTATTGCTTACCATCGAATGTTCGTCCCCAGATGTTATTGTTGCTCCAGCTTCCGTTGCTACTTCCGAAGCCCTTCCCCATGCTTGCGTGAGAGGTTCGTGACCTGTCACTGACCACATTTGCTGAATTCATTGAATTCATATTGGACCCTCTGTTCGACCGTCCCTGGGATTGTAGTTAGCCACACTGTCCCACTTGCCACATATTTAGTTTCCACCTACATTGTGACCTGTGTTCGCGTTGTTGGAGGCCATAGTGGGCAATCCACCATAAGACTTCCGCTATCCAGTATAACCGACTGTATGGATATCTTTTCGCCCGTAGACGCTTGGGTTGCTGCTTCTGCTTAGGTGAAGCCTCCGAGGGATATGGTCAATGCCACGGTCGATCGAATCGAATCGAGTAGGTATAGGTATAACCGGCCGAGTAGGATGGGCTAGGGCAGGAGCTCTGTAACAGATAGCGGACTGCACGAGAATTAGCCATACGATCGCTCCGCGCTCATGAGACTGTGTGAGAACCGAGGATTGACTCACAAGAGAGGCAGGAAGAAGCGGGACGAGGAAGAGAAGGGATGGGGACAGAAAGGAGTAGACAGGTTCCGCGGAAGAATAGGAATATGTTTCTGTCCAGAATAGACACGGTCAAGCAATGCAAGAATTACACAGGGGTCTCGAAGGGATGGGGTACGGAAGGGAGGAAGAGCGTGGCAGGCGAAAAATGCTTAACAGAGGAAGGAGGTAGGCCCGACGAAGAAGAAACGCAAGGCGACCGGAGCTTCTTCTGTTTGCCAGCGCGATGCTCCGCACGCAGCAGTAGATCAAAAATCGCCCAAAGATATTGCGATGTGACTATGCTCCGTGCATGCTCCAGAAACCTCGAACTTCGCAGATCGTCCTCATGCGCTCTCTCCAGAAAAGAGAGGGATAGCCGACACGGGTCCAGTATTAATCAGACAAACGTTAGGAGCTCGGATGATTCGCAGCGGCAAGGGGTGTGGGGAGGGGCGAAGGGTTGGAGGAGATTGCAGTTGGTATGGAAGGAGAATGTGCTTGTTGCGCAAGACGGCGTGATTTAGTGGAGTGTCGAACGATGGGAATGTGGACGAGAGACGAAGCACGGCATTAATGTAATTCAGTTGTGACACAAGGCGAAAGCAAGCATGACACCCGAACTGGTCCCAAAGCAGATCAGTATTTTATCGCACCTCCGTTTTAGACTTTCGCTGAGATGGTGGAACTGGGAAATTGGTCGGAATTTATATAGAAGGTTTTTAAGAGAACAAAAAAGATAATAAAGATAAAATAGTATGGGCGGAAAATAGTGACCGAGAAGAGAGAGATGAGAGAATTCACGTAGTGAGTGAGTGAGAGAGAGTTGGTTGAGAGTTGATGGTCGGAATGATTTCAGAGTAGGGAAAAGAAAAGGTTATTTTAATAATAAAAAAAAAAATCGAACCTGAAAAAAACGAACTGGGTTGACCCGCGACAAGTGAAAGTCGGTAGCACAAAAGAGGCACCAAAGGCGACCCCGTCAAGAAAAGAAGAAAAAATGACAAATGGTAAGGGGAGGAAGAGGGAGGGAGAAAATGAGAGAGAGGGAAGAATTGATAACTGGAAACGAAAAGGGAGGAGAGAAAGCAAAAGGAAGGGCCTTACTCAGTCTGCAGCGGCGGCCAGGATGAGGGAGGAGGAATTGATTGATTGATGGATGGATAGAGGAGGATGAGTTGGATGGATAGGGAATGATACGTAGATAAGCAAGCAACCAGCAACATCAGCAGTACAGTACGTATGTACATACGTATTGGTAGCCAAGTTGTGAGTTGCTAGCAGAATACCGTAGCTGGGCTGAACAAGCCAGACAAGCAACTTAAGTTAAGCTAGAAAAAGATGCTGCGTGTCTTGCGACCAGAATTCTTTTGGGTCCAGTTGGTGGTGGTGGTCCACGGTGGTGGTGGTCCACGGTGGTGGTGGTCCACGGTGGTGGTGGTCCACGGTGGTGGTGGTCCACGGTGGTGGTGGTCCACGGTGGTGGTGGTGGTGGTGGCCGCTGCTGGTAAGAATTACAGGATAGTTACTCCGTACGGGAGAATGACAATACCAAACTGACGATCTTGTCGATCCTCTCAGTGTTACTTGAGTACGGAGTACTTGAGCAAAGTATGGGTGGCGCACTGGGCGAGCAGGTACCGGATCCTCTTCAGCCCTCCTCCGCCTTCCCGTTCCCTCTGGGCGCTTGTCCATCCATCCACATCCACAATTGTTCCGTCCGATACGGTTCGTTCCAGCTTTAGTTTCCAGTTCCAGTCCAAGTTCCAAAGGGTTCTAAACTGGCGCTGATTCTGGGGCCGCCCAAATTCGCTCCCGCCGCTTTTTTTTTTAGGCTTCCATCCAAGGCGACGGGCCCCTCAATGGATCCCTGAGTCTGGGCGTATCGCTATGAGTAGTTAGTACATACTCACTCAGTATTCATGCTTCACACTCTAAACTGCCATCAACAATTATCTTCCCCACCTCCAAAAATACCCCGGACTTCCTTCCACCCCATCAATTTTACCTGTCGTTTTGACTTACAGTGCTCCTGAAGGACACCTAGTACTGAAACACCCCCTGGATTGGGTTAATGAGGGTTGCACAAACCAAGTTGAAGGGGAGAGGTCTAACCAAGGACAGCAGCATAATAGGCTGACCGCCACAGTCAGAACTCACCCCTCCCCCAGAACCACCCGTCGTTGCCATCATTGTCTATCTTGACGTGGTTGACATTTCGGCTACTGTTGCGTAATGGATTTCTCCCCTTCCCCTTTCCCCGTTCCCCGTTCCCTTCCCGTATCATTTCTAGTGGCAAAATGGTGCAGAAGAAGCACGATTGACTGCGAGAGAGAGAGAGAGAGAGAGAGAGAGAGATCCCGTGGGCTGAGGGGGAGTTAGGGTCTTACGAAGAACGTCGGAGAGGGTGTCATTCGGCAATGTCGGACATCAGTTCCTAGCCAACACCTCCGATTATGAATTTCTAGTCCCTTGTCTTGGGCTGGACAGGCTAGCCAGGCCGATACTCGAGAGTCATTCAGCGAGGCAGTTTTATCTGTATATCTAATATTTTTTGGGGCGTATATACCATGTGCCTCGATGAATTTTTCGAAATATTTACCATGAGTCCGATGATGATGAGAATGAGAGGGGTTGGTTGATTAAGGAAGATTGGCAGTCCACGTAAAGGTAAAGTTGCGCTCCAGCCCGATCGATCGGATCCACTAAACTAGCTTGGATTTTTCTTGTTAAAATCAGAGTTTATTATTATTCTCGGGCCACCTTTGGACCCTTTGACAATGGATTGATTCATGATGCCTTGATATTCCGGGCCGAGTCGTGCGTTCCTTCGGCTATTGTTCCATGCCTGTGATCACCACCATCCACTCCCACCAAGCACTGATCATTAGGCAATTGATTTCTGGCATATTTCACTATTGAATGAGGGGCAATTGTTCTGATCAAGAAGCACTCTTAATACCCATCGATTGTGAAAGGTTTGAACCCCCCTCCCCCCTCATTTACATGTGGAATTGGATGCAATAGTCAACGGCGTCCCCATAACCATGGAACCACTAACCACCTCTCATCACGTCGCAAAGGTTGTAAGCATGCTCGCTGGCCTTGATCACTCAACCGATGGACAACATCAGCAGCAGTGAGGAGAAGACCACCATCTCATGCAGCTATTTAATCAAACCACCCTCCCCCTTCCATAATGCATACCTACTAGCCACGCGACTCGATTGTTAGGCACTTTTCGACGTTCCTGTCAGGGAACCACAGCAGCAGCAACAATAACAACAAAACAACAATAACAATAATAACAATACACCCCCACGTTACCCCTATCTATCCCCACGCTTTCCTCCAGTTGGTGCGACTCATGTAGCTGCCAACAGTGCATACACACATAATGTACATACAGCTTATCTCGTTGACTTTTCCCCACCATACTCCATTGAACCAAGAGGCACGCATGAAATCGCCCCCCCCCTTGCATCCAAACAGGTAACATTCGATTTAGGTTTCATCCGCCCTGCCGTTTTGACGGCCGAGGAACCAAAGAACCCCCAAGCAAGCTCCAGGGGACGGGAGGAGGAAGAATCTTTGGTGGTCGTCGGGCTGTAGTTCCTCTGCCATCGTCATGGCTGCTGCTTTCTCGGATGTAGGTTCATGGCACACGGTAGGTAGGTAGCATGTGGATGTTCGTATGCAGTGTAGCTCTGTAAGTAGCCTTAATCTTTTTGTCCCTTTAGATTAGTTTCATTTACGAGGCAAGGCTAACATGACTTTCACTCCTGAAGAGGAGTCTCGAAAAACAAACACCCCTCCCCAAGCACAGCACAACCTCAAATTCACCTTGCATGCGTACAAATCTCCCACCCTTACCCCCCAACTTCAAACTTGCCTTATCTACAATGCCCACTCTGAATGCACTACACCTCCCCCCCCCCCTCCCCGCCCGCACGCAAGTGACTGAAAGAGGGGGCTTGAGAAAGAAAAAAAAACACCCTCAATCAAAAAGAGCGGCGATTACTTCCACCCCATTCCTCTCACCCCTACGTATGTAGCCCAGCAATCCACCAACCGTGGACCGTCACTGGCTGTAACACGCCTCATAGAGTGTAGATCCATGCCATGGGCACGCATGCCGTGGGGGCGGGGGGAGGGGACACCAAGACCCTCGCAAGCGAATATCGGCCGGGGCTTATGTGAATGGCTCTCCACCTCCAAGTTCTATCACGGCCCAGAAAGACGATACTCGAAGCTATCGCTAGCGTTCCCAACCTCCAGCGAGGCATATAGCTCACTGCCCGTTCATTCTATGGAGGGATCCCTTCTCTGATGACTCGGGGGCCCAAGTGGTTGTCTTTGCCACTGTGTCAAATAATTAGTTCTTCAAGGCATCTGATTGAGGGAGACTCATCACACGGATGACACTGTGTATGTCATATACTCGTCGCACTGGGTGGTTCAGATATCCGACTTCTTCCGCAGGATACTTCTACATATGAGCTCATTTGCGAGCCGTCGCGCTTGGGACTTGATAGCCTATACCGTGGGCCGGGCTCTCGAAACACGGTAGTGAGAGAAAGACGGCACGAG